CTTCCCTGTCACCTATAATCTTCAAAGTTTTAAATGCTCCGTCAATCGCCATTTGCTTTCTCCCGGAACTATTTTCCTTTATTGTCTTTTCCCTCGCTTCTACTCACTAACGTCTTCTCATTCTCTTTCACTCCCAGTGGCATATCATCACATTGCTTGAGATGAAACGATTTAAAAAAAGAAAAGAAAAGAAATAAAACAACATAGGGAAATTATTTTATTACAGTAATGCATTAGAAATTATTCTCCTAGAGAACTATACCGAAATTTTTAATTAAAAAATGCATAATCAATTATTTTATAGAATTCTATAAGAAAGTGGCTGAATATACGCTGTTTAGTGTCCGAGGATATCACAAGTAAGCCGTATAAAAAATAATGTGTCAAAACTTTAATTCAATTTTAATTTTCGCTAGAAACAAGGAAAAGAGTTCTAAACTGCAACGTAATATCTTTCCTCCTGTATGGCAGTGAGTGCTGGACGATCTCCACAAAGATGGAGAGGAGACACAAAGCCACAAAACCATAAACCGAATATGTGCGCAAAGGCGAAGTTTTGGCGAAAATAGAAACAAAAAAGAAAATTAATAAGAATAGACAGTTGAGGTTTTCTGGAGCACATAATGAGGAAGGCAGGTTCGGAAAATCTGATACTTACAGGACAGGTAGCGGGAAAAAATAGACAGAGGAAAGCAGCGTGTAAAATTCTTAGCTTCAGTAAATGGATGGCGGGACAGGGTTTAGGAAAAATAACAGAAAGACAATGTTTATTAAGAGCTACAAAAGACAAGAAGTTGTGGTGGGCCATGATCGCCGGTGTCCTGAAGGGACACAGCACATAAAGAAGAAGATGGAAGACAACGGGAAGCAGCAGGAAGAATGTCAAATTATTTTATGTGATTTTAACATCGATAGAAATTCAAACTTCGGATTCAAAGGCGAGTTTTCGAGCCGCCAACATGGCGTTGTTCAATCCCATTAAAACAATCTCAGCTCCTTTTATAAACGATTCTGCTTCTTTGCGGATTCCATTTCTTTTATGATCTGTGAACTGGGAAAGATAATGGAGTATTTTCCTGATGTTTTCCCCTGTATTAGACTGACTGCCATCCGTAACTAAAAACTTTAGTCTATTCTGTTATCTAACATATAGCTGGTGTTGAGATGTATTCATGCCTTTTCCAAGGGCATTAGTGCGAAAGTAAACGCAAGAGCCTAAAACAGTATTTGAACTTGGCTCGTAGATTTGACTTTCCTATAATCTTTATGCCACCCGCTTTTATATTATCTACTTTATACTTAGCAATTTTTTGGCAACAAAAATATATTCCCGACATTATGGCGTGGATACGTGTGTCGGAATGAGAAATCGTAGAGTCGATTTCACTTACGCCCAATTACCCTGTTTAAAGTTATAAATCCATCTCCAGCGCCCATATATGGGTTAAATAGTAGAATTTGTATCTGGAAAAATAATTTTTATTCTGAACAAAATTCATTATGCAATATTCACTCAAAAAAAAAAAAAAAAAACATTATTCTTACAACCACAAATTAGGTTTTGGCTTTGAACAACCCACAAAGGGTTGATAAACCGTAAGAAATAAAGCAAATCAATAAGTGAACAGGGCCAAGAACTTTGCAAAGTAGAAAACATTTTCTTTGTTCATTTCTTCATATTTGTATATTTCATTTTTGCGCAAAAGCATGGAATCGGATTTTATTAATTTTTTACGGCTTATCAACCTTTTGCATGCCATTTAATACTTTTGATTATGACAGTTTTTTGGTGATAATAATGATTTACTGATGCAAGTCCTACTAATTAGCCCATAGCTGGGGGAGAAGAGATGGATCCTTACATTTCCCAAGAGTATTTGCGCGTAAGTGAATATAATGAACCTGGCTGGAATTGGAACTCGGCTCTCCGATCTCCAATTCTGAGCCGTTATCTATTACACCAGCCGCATATCCAACCTTACAGCACCCGGTATTCCCAACCATCTGACCAGGATTGCTTTACTTCGGTGATCGTGCGAGAAACAGTGTATTGACTTGATATGACTTGTAAGCTACATGGACGCAGAACGAACAATGGGAGAGTATAAAAAGATACAAGTAAAGTGCGTGCGAGAAAAGGTAATGAACAAACTTCATTCTCGACACCTGTGCATTTCCCACGAAGCCAGTTAGTAACTTATTATTTTAAAGCGGGGATTATTCCTAACGCTACAATGTTAGAAATATCTTTGAAGTGTCTTTGAAAGTTAAATATTTATTGCCTGGGGAAAGAATAATCTGCAATGTTATTCGTCCTGACCTGTCATCTTAATTTCAGTACCTTTCCCATCGACATAACGTAGCCTACTTGTGCCTTTTCTATAAATACTTTCATGGTAATTGTTCTCATGAATTGTTCGCCATGGTACCTAAACTTTATGAATTTAAGTGCAGTACTACTAGACTGCTGGCAAGGTCTCATATTTTACAGTTGAAATGCCTAGAAGTAACCGTAAGTTCTATGCTAACAGTTTCTTCTGTTGCACTTCTCGCTTGTGGAACTTTTTTCCGGTTCCCTGATTCTCTGTAAACATTGGTCTTCAAAAATTCAAATGCAATGTCAATCGTTATCGTCTTTCATCTAAATTCTTGTTCTTTTATTAGTCCTCTCTCCTTAATAGTAGTTTCCATCATATTCTATAACACTTACGTCCTGGTGGCTTTATTGCATTGCTTGAGGTGAAATGATAAAAAAAAAAAAAGTCAACTGTAGTATCTTTTTTTCAAGTCATGTCATAAGCCAGGAGTGTGAATTACACAGAAATTAATATTAGTCAACGTCGATATGATTTTTTTTTTGTTTTTACAATTTAACTAATAGTGATTTTCCAAGCGTAGCTTAGATGTGGCACAAGGACGAAATTATGGGGCACCCAGTGAGGATCGAACTCACTACCCACTATTAGGTTCTTCTAAGGCTGTACAGGGATGGAGCAAGACGTGCGTATTATGAGTATATGTAGGATAGATAAAAGCTGACCCTCGTCTTGAAAAGATTAAGATTGTAGTGATTGGGGAAGCATCTTCTCGTGAGTCCGTTCAATCATACAACAATTCTGGGGGAAAAAAAAAACTCTGTCTGAGTGGATCTTCCTCTTCACCAATGGAATATGAAAAAATGAGGTTAGGATGGCAGTGTATATGGCCTGGCAGTGTACGTAGCCTGGCAGTGTACATGGCCTGGCAGGTCCTAGCTGTGAAAGTCTGGATAGGTCGAGCAAAGGTCTGCCGTGAAAATAATGATAGATTATTGTGGGTTGTAGGGGGTGGGGACAAGTGATCACCAACAATGTCGGGCAAACGTTTTTGAAGCGAGACTGATAGTTCATTTTAGCTTAAATCGGATCAAGTCCGGGAAAAATGTATTTTCTGTGTTTACGTGAATCCAAAGAGAATTTTATATTATGGTTTTCTGGAACCTGGAAAAAAAAACTGTTAAAGTGAGCAATTGGCTCGTTTGAAAAACGCCTTGAACGAGAAATTCCAACATTAAACTCTATAGTTAGAAATAGCTAGCTAGTAATCTTGTAGCTTCATGGGTTTATGATTTTAAAACTCCCCAACCAACCAGTCACATTTACCTGCCACCCGAAGTCAAAAGAAGTAACTGTAACACTTGACGATATAATATAACTTATTTTGTTTTGCCATTGTTTCTATTGATATTATACATTTTCCTATCCTGTCGTTTCTAAACATCTTGTCAACGACAGAATGACAAAATGCCTCTACGTGTGTCTTCAACGCCGATAAGCCAATATAAAACCTTAATTACGTATACTAAGTTACATTTAACCCGCCTCATTACTCGTTCAGAAATTGTCTATCTGCTTTATCTACCAAAACACGGCTTGTAGGCACGGCATGAATTAATCCAGCTGACACCTTCAGAGTCAGGGAAAGTCTTCATAAGCTGAAGACAATGGTTTTAAGATTTTAGGTTTACATCCAGTCCTACTTGCAAGTTGTTGGTCCTTCGTGCTATACGCTATGTACAGCGACGACATCATTTGCTAACACTCTCATTAGGTTTTCTTATCGGTTCGTGCAAAGCGCGCACTGAACTGAATAGATTTTGTTTTATACAGGGAATAATCTATCAATAATTCTTCTTATTAATATTATTATTATTATTATCTTACTATTTGTGTTGTCAGTAGCATTGTCTTCATCGTTCATTTCTTCTCCTTCCTTTTCTTTTACTTTGTCTTCTTCTTCTTCTTCTTCTTCTTCTTTTAATTTCTGTATTCTTCACATATTTAAATTTCTTTTTTTTTTTTTTTTTCTACTCCTTCTCATAATTAAATTTACAATTTTCTTATTCCACACTTTGTTCTATACATTTTTCTTCACAACCTTCACCTCACATAACGTTTCCGGTTCTGTTTTTGCTTTTCTTCTACTGTGGTTTTCTTCTTCTTCTTCTTCTTCTTCTTCTTCTTCTTCTTCTTCTTTAATCAGTTCACTCAAAGCGAATCTATTTACTTTTATTGAGGGGAAAAAGAAAAAAAAAAAACAGGAAAACTTAATTGAAAACAAAGGAAAGAGTGCTGAGCGCTATGTAATATCAGCTTTCCTCTTCTGCAATAAATACGAGATAATCTGCTCGCGAGGAAGAAGAGACTTGAAGCAACAGAAATGTGATTCTACAGCATGATACTGATTGATTGATTGATTGATTCGGTTGTTTTTTTTTTTGGGGGGGGTAATCAACCCTTTGTAGCTTATTTAAAGCCAGAGAATATTTTTTTCAGATAATAACTCTTTATTAATACAAGTTTTACTAATTAACGCATGGCTGGGGAGAGAAAAGGTGGATTCATACCTTTCCCAAGGGCATTTGAGTGTAAATGAAGAAAATGAACCCAACTGGATTTGGATCGCGACTCTCCGATTAACAATTCTGAGCCATTATCCATTACACCAGCCGCACAGCCAAGCTGACGGCATCTGGTATTCCCAAGCAATCACCCATCTAGGTATTGACTGAGCTCGGCGTTGCTCAACTTCGGTGATCGTACGGAAACTGGTGTTTTAACGTGTTATATAGGAATAAAGTGTCGCTGCCGACACTTGAGTTTGAACATAGATCGCCAGTGAGCAAACACAGGCGATCCCATAATTGAATTAAGTGAATCACGTGACCATGGGAGAAACGCATATGTAGAAAGTCGCGTGACGTCTAATTGATCTCCATTTCTAATCTATCCTCTATTACTATACGGACCGCTATTCTCTACTTTATTCACTATACTATTTCTCTATTCAGATCACTATACAGATTACTATTCGAGTGAATATTATCGAGCAAGTACTATTAGTGCGAGTGTTATTCGGGGGCGTTTGACACCAGTATTGTTCAACGGCGTTACTATGGTTGTATCTGCGATTACAAATTCTCTACTACAACGAGCATTACGGAAGTAACAACGACTATTCGTTGACATTACGAAAGTGGGAACTGACGTCCGTTGACACCACAAAACAATGTGATACGGCTGTATGCCTATAAGGATACTGTGAATAACATGGACTGATCAGGTGAGTAACGAGGAAGAAAAATAGAAAATACAAGGAAATTCATATATCTACAATCAGAAAGAGACAGCTGAAATCTATAGAACGCATGATGAGGAAAGCCGGTTTGAAGAATTTAACACTCGTAGGACATAGAGTTTAATGATATCACATCAACTGTTATTATTATTATTATTATTACAAGGCTTAGAGCACGATTTAAGAAAAGGAAAAACAATGTTTAATATTGTTTAACAACATTTCGACAGCATGTCTGCTTTCAAGTTGTGTTTAAAAATTTCATTATTATTATTATTTCATGCACACACACACACACACACACACACACATATATATATATATATATATATATATATATATATATATATATATATATATAGTTAGTTAGTTAGTTATGCTGGACGATTATTTTCGGTTAACGTACATGTTCATGGTTCTTTCTTTTTTTATAACTTTTTGTCCCTTTGGTATTGGTTTGATTATTTGCAAATCAAGACATCGAAGGTTTTCCAAACGAGTATAGTTTCTTATACTTATAAGATTTCTATTAATAATATATATATATATATATATATATATATATATATATATATATATATATATATATATATATATATATTAATAGAAATATATATGTATAAATGACAATAGGAAAACTGTAGTTATTGCTGACGCGTTTCGTCCAATGTGGACTTTCTCAAAGCAAAAAACGAAATGAATTTAATTAAAGAAAGTAACTAATAATAACAAAAAACAGAATGTTCTTAGCAATAACTACAGTTTTCCTATTGTCATTTATATTTATAAATATTGTCTTTTCTACAAGTTAACTCTGAGAAATTTTCATATATATATATATATATATATATATATATATATTTACACCGGATGGTAATCGCTAGAAATTGAATAAAAGTAACTCTTCAAATCTCTAGCATCCTTCTCAGTATTATTGAAAACCCTATGCCAATCTGCTTAATCCTTTCACGAATTTCTATTTCACATGCATGTACCTAGTAGGGATCGCCCACTTAACAAGACGGCAAACCATCTCGTACTGTCAGATATTTACGAGGGTTGAACAATTATGAAAAGCATCATATATGAATTGGACCTCACTAAAGTGTCAAGTGGTCGTCGAGAACAACTGTTTTATGATCGTTCATAGAAGTACGTGTGGAATGAACTAACTCCACTGGCGGATGCTGTAGTAATAACAACTTCCTCGTTGTCTTCATTCTATACTGGGTTTTCCTTAACTCAACCGGCAAGGGTTTTGTGCGAATTTACACAACAATGCCAGGATTAATCAGTGAACGAGATAGAAAAACGGAGTTGCTTTTGTAGGTTCGGTTGTGGAATGTGGAGGTTAATTTGCAAAAATGTCTGCCGACTTCTTTTTCAAGTCTAATCGTACATTTCTTCTTCCTTTTCTTTTACTTTTTCTTGTTGTTGTTGTTGTTCTTCTTCTTCTTCTTTTTTTTCTTCTTCTTCTTCTTCACATATTTAAATTTCCGTATCGCGTTTTCTTTTTTCTACTGCTCATAATTAAATTTACAATATTCTTATTCCACACTTTTTTCAATACATTTTTCTTCACAACCTTCACCTCACATAACATTCCCGGCTTTGTTTTTGCTTTTCTTCTTCTTCTTCTTCTTCTTCTTCTTGTCCAATGAATGTGTCCTACGTCAGAGCCCCCCCACACACACACACAAGTTTCTAGTATTATTAAACGTATTATTATTCTTTCAGCTACAATATAACGTTCGTCGAAATCCTGTGATTTCATAAAATTGCTTGTTTGGGAAAAAAGTTTACAGAGTGTTTCTAACTTTTTTTTTCCTCGGCTTTAAGTAATGTGCTTACATTGTTTTTAAAGTTCGTGGGCTGTAGAATTGGTAAAATAGAACCGTTTGGATTACAGATTGCAGGGTCGGTGTAGTAATTGATACCGGCTCGGAATCTGAGAGCCGAGTTCGAATTCCAGTCGAATCTATTGTATTCACTTACGTGCTAATACCCTTGGCAAAAGTATGAATCCTCTTTTTCTCTCCTCAGCTATGGGTAATTAACAGGACAGACCGGGTGTTATAGCCTTGGTTGGCAACTAGTCTACCACAGAAAGAAATGGCGAACTACTGTGGGAAAAAAATCTGCCTCGTCAGTCATGTATTGTATGATACATGATCGTCTAAGCGTGTATCACTCGTGGCATATAACTGACTGATTCCTTGTATATATGCCGAGTTCGAATTCCAGTCGAATCCATTACATTCACTTACGTGCTAATACCCTTTGGAGAGGTATGAATCCTCTTCTTCTCCCCTCGAGCTATGGGTAAATAGCAGGACATACCGGGTTCTATAGACTTGGATGGCAACTGGTCTACCGCAGAAATAAATGGCAACCTACTGCGGGAAAAATTGCCTCATCAGTCATATATCGAAAGATACATGATCGCCTAAACGTGTATCCCGCATGGCACATAATTGACTGAATTTAAATTGATTGGAATCTTGTGAGGTCCTGAAAATCTTTGAGTTAAACCAGATTGCTTTTGTTGTTTTGTTTTTTTTTCTTATTTTTTGTTTCTTTCTAGGTTCACAGGTTCCAAACTTAGAGACACACTACTCAATTCAATTCAGATAGCAACAATTTCAACTTGAAACTAGAACCTACTTCACGCAATTTCCTATTTGAGACTTAACCTTAAACTTTCTGTTAACATAATATAAATCTTTTGATAATTCTCACTCAAGCAATATATATTATTTCAAACAACCTTACAACTTGAATACGCAACCAACTTCAATATAAAATATCTGATCAAAGAATGATTTTAAAAAAAGAACCATCCATATATACTTGATAATAAGGTACTTCGCATAATAAATTGAAATATTACTCCAAAAGGGATGTTCAAGATAAGGATATCGAAAAAAAAATGCAGCGAAATTCTCTTACGGCAAACATCCTCTACGGTGAAGTTTCCTACGGCGAAAATTCCTGAGGCGAGTTTTCATACGGCAAAAATGTTTACAGTGAATGTTTTTTTATACGGTTCCTTATGATGTGTGCTCAAACATGAATAAGTTTTTATGCCGTATCCCTTCAGAATGTAGGCAGTTATGACTCTCCACTACTTTCTAAACTTTGTATCAATAAATAAAAAAAAACAGAAAAAATGAATCTTTTATATGTGCAGGTCCATTAATGGCTTCCCCCTGAGTTCAGTATGATGTGAAAGCATCTCTGAGTAAGTATCTTCTTTTAAGTCCCCTAGCACTTCAGAACGTGGTGAATCATGGCTCTCCACTATTTCTTTTTTTTTTTTTTTTGTAGCTCAAAAACTAGAAAAATCAGTGAATCTTTAATATGAGTAGTTTCTACTAACGGCTTTCTGTTGAGTTCCGTTTTATTTGAGGGAAACTACGAGAAAACTTTTTTTTATGTGCCGTATCACTTTAGGATGTAGGCGATCATGACTCTCTACTAATTTCTATCTTTTGTAAATTTACAAAGAGTTAGAAAAACTTGAATCTTTGATGTGTATTAACGATTACTCATCTAACCTGAAGACAACTACTAATAAACTTTCTTTTATATGCCGTATCCATTCAGGAGGGAGACGTTCCTGGCTCTCCACTATTTCACGTCGTTTTCACAATATTTTTCTTTTTACTCTCCTTTGCTGGTATTCATTACACAGGCTCATTAGGCAGATTACCGGCAGTTTCCCTCTGGTCTTTTAGCCTTCAAATGTCCCCCTGGGTGTCAAATTCTGCAAGATTTTTTTGGTTATTTTGTCTCAAAACTTACTCTTTTTGATTGTATAGGAGATATCCAAGACTCCGTAAAAGAACAATTATTCTTACAGATGTGATTCTTCATTCGCAATTATTGGGGAATAAAATATTTAATTTTTGATAATTATTGCAATAATTTCATTGAAATAATAAATAATTAGTTTCTGTTTATATACTCAATATTCAGCACGACAATATTTAATTTAACAGATAACTTCATGGTAAATGTAAGAATAAAAAGCTTAATTAAATAAAATAAATTAATAATTACATAAAATATAAATATAAAATAAATATAGAAATAAATATAAGTATAAATGTATAAATATAAAATATTCAAATATAAATAAAATAAAGAAATAAAGTAAACAAAATAAAATAAAAATAAAATAAATTAAACTTAAAATAAAATTAAAATAAAATTATAAATTATTAAATATATAAATATAAATTTATATAAATATAAATTATATAAATTATTAATTATATAAATTATTAAATATAGAATGATAATAAATTGAAATAAAATTGAAGTTAAAAAAATCAAAATGAAATAAAAAAAAATAAAATAGAATATAAATAATATATAAAATATAAATATAAAATATAAATATACATATATAAAAATAAATATAAAATAAAATATAAATATAAATAATTAAATACAATAAATAATTAAACAAAAGGTTCTG